AAGGGGAAAAGTTTTCTCTTTGACCCTTGAGCTGGGATCAGCCACGCAAATCGCTGTTTGGAATAAATCTTAGTAAATACACATGTGTGTCTAGATACAGCTCCGAGCGCTCTCGCCATAGGATGGGGGCGCTGGGCAATCCTACCCAATTTTAAGTGGGCGAATTCCAGCGACATGGGCCGAACGATACACCCCTGCGTTAAACGCCGGCTCTTCAAAGAGCCCAAGGATTAAAAGTTAATTCCATCTTTTTCATTCAAGGGACATATCAGTGGCATTATGGGTGCTGCCAACTCCTGTCTTCATCTGTCCTTTAATGCCGCCTTCTCGCTAATTCTCGGTTGTTCAAATGCTACCTACATAATAAGAGCCTTGAGTTAATTTACTAAGATTTTACACCAGTGCAAATGAAAGAAAGAATTGCTAAACAAGGCAATTAGCACTCTGTTTAGCGCACTCCCAAAATAAATGTAGGCAATCTCCAATTTGGCAAATGGCACCCTATCCCGGTCCAACTCATTTATGCCTAAGGGGGCGGCGCAGTTCATTAGGGCGGAAAACGTGTTTGTATATATTACGCGGTTGAGGCCCAACCCATTTTGTGCTCTAGCAACAGATGCGACTCCTCCTGAGGATTATTAGTAGTTTCTTGCAGAAAAATGCCAAACGATCAGGCTTTTCAAATAAATGGCCCGAGAATGAATGCCTGCGACGATTGGGTCTCGGGGGCTCGGTTGTGGGAGGCGGGGTGTGTGCAGGGGACGGTCTGCAAACCTAGCGTCACCTTTGGAGCCTCTTGTGTGGCTCTTGAGGCATGTGACGCCCTGGCCGGGACGCTCAGCTGGTGAGAGCGTCATCCCGGTACGCCAAGGTTGCGGGTTCGACCCCCGGTCAGGGCGCATACAAGAATCAAGCAACGATGCATCAGTAAGTGAAACAACAAATCGATGTTTCTCTCTCTCTCTCTCTCCCCCAAATCAATAAATAAAAACAAGTCGTGCACCCCCACTCTGAGATCCGTTGGGACTGTCCACTTGAAGGACTACTGACTGTTTCTTAATCGACAGGAAGGCTGCTCCAAGACTCTCGTGTTTATCCTCAGAAGCCTTTTTTTTTTAGTGAAAACAACAACAACAACAGCACAGGTATTGTTAATGCAGAATCGCAACCGGCATGAATCTTTAAGATGCTGGAACGAAACAGGCCAAACGAGGAACAGAGCTCGAGGAACAGAGCTCGAGGAACAGAGCTCGAGGGAACATTTCAGACCCAGAAAGATGCCCCCCCCCCCCGACTTGGGACCACGGTGCCCGGAGCCCCGCCCTCTTTCTTTGGGGTTTACTCTTTAAACGGTCAGGGTCTCATGTCTCATGCTCACATGTCACCGTCGTCTGAAATTTGGGTTTCTGCTGGAAAGAAAGTGTGAAAATCCCCCTCTGAGGAGACGGGGGGTGGCGAAATAAAGCCCACCAGCCTGCCTTGCGTTTCTGTTGAGTTTTGAATCTAGAGAGTTTTACTCGGTGATTTAAAAAAAGACCAAAAGGCAAGCAAGGTAACAGCGTCCTTTTGTGGCCCCCTAGCTGCTGCCGGAAGCACTCGTGCAGGAGAAAATCCTGATGATTAAATTCCCCTAAATCTCCCTTGGGTGGGGGACCGGGGAAGGGGGTGGCAAATCCCACTGTTAACAAGAGCTAATGTTCATTTTTCTCTTTATGAAAAGATGTCTCAATTAATAAAAGTTTACCTCCTTGAATTAGCTGGACTTTCGTTGTCATGAGACAAGGCAGAGTAATAATTCAGGAGGGGCTCTCAGAAAATTAAACTGGAACGTAACTTTTAAAAAATATATATAAATCTTTATTGATTTCAGAGAGAGGAAGGGAGAGGGAGAGAGAGAGAGAAACATCAGTGATGAGTCATTGATCGGCTGCCTCCTGCTCGCCCCCTGCTGGGGGTCGAGGAGCCTGCACCCCGGGCCTGTGCCCTGACCGGGAATCGAACCCCAACCTCCTGGATCCTAGGTCGACACTCAACCGCTGAGCCACGCCGGCCGGGCTGGAACGTAACTTTTGTCAAGCAGTGCGACGCGCCAATGTCGGACCACATGTTGTTTCGAGACTTTCTGACCGTGGGTTTTAATTCGGTCCCTAAACGAAGTCGAGGAGATTGGTTTGCTGGTTTTAGGGACATGGGGGTGGCTTCTCGGACTGATGACAAAATTCCTATGCATACGTGCGTTTTCGAAAGTGAAGCTGGGGGGGGATATTTCATTTCNCCCCCCGACTTGGGACCACGGTGCCCGGAGCCCCGCCCTCTTTCTTTGGGGTTTACTCTTTAAACGGTCAGGGTCTCATGTCTCATGCTCACATGTCACCGTCGTCTGAAATTTGGGTTTCTGCTGGAAAGAAAGTGTGAAAATCCCCCTCTGAGGAGACGGGGGGTGGCGAAATAAAGCCCACCAGCCTGCCTTGCGTTTCTGTTGAGTTTTGAATCTAGAGAGTTTTACTCGGTGATTTAAAAAAAGACCAAAAGGCAAGCAAGGTAACAGCGTCCTTTTGTGGCCCCCTAGCTGCTGCCGGAAGCACTCGTGCAGGAGAAAATCCTGATGATTAAATTCCCCTAAATCTCCCTTGGGTGGGGGACCGGGGAAGGGGGTGGCAAATCCCACTGTTAACAAGAGCTAATGTTCATTTTTCTCTTTATGAAAAGATGTCTCAATAAAAGTTTACCTCCTTGAATTAGCTGGACTTTCGTTGTCATGAGACAAGGCAGAGTAATAATTCAGGAGGGGCTCTCAGAAAATTAAACTGGAACGTAACTTTTAAAAAATATATATAAATCTTTATTGATTTCAGAGAGAGGAAGGGAGAGGGAGAGAGAGAGAAACATCAATGATGAGAGTCATTGATCGGCTGCCTCCTGCTCGCCCCCTGCTGGGGGTCGAGGAGCCTGCACCCCGGGCCTGTGCCCTGACTGGGAATCGAACCCCAACCTCCTGGATCCTAGGTCGACACTCAACTGCTGAGCCACGCCGGCCGGGCTGGAATGTGACTTTTGTCAAGCAGTGCGACCCACCAATGTTGGACCACATGTTGTTTTGAGACTTTCTGACCATGGGTTTTAATTTGGTCCCTAAACGAAGTTGAGGAGATTGGTTTGCTGGTTTTAGAGACATGGGGATGGCTTCTCCAACTGATGACAAAATTCCTATGCATATGTGCGTTTTCGAAAGTGAACCTGGGGTAGATATTTCATTTGNCATCGCGCCCGGATTCCTCTCTCTCTCGGGTGGAGACTGTCCCCGGATCCCCAGCTTTCTTTGTGTTGATGACAATTTTCCTCCCTGGAAGGGAAGAGAAAGTCCCCTCGCTCGGAGCCTGTCTTGTGTTACCTTTGTCTGCCCAGCTCAGCTGGTATTTAATTGGTCAGCGCATAGGAGGGACGTCTCCTTGGAGGTAATGAATATTGACTGTTTACGCCGAGATGTCACCGTGAAAAGAGAGCCAGCACCAAAGAGGGGGAGCCCAGTGTGAGAGCGGCGGACACAAAGGAGGCACCAGCCAAGGGCGGGCGCTGAAAGGAGCCAGCGGCTGAGGCTCAAAGGGATGAATCGGCCGGGCCGCGTGTGTGGGAATTTTAAGCCGCCGCTGGCAGGTGGAAGACGCATTGTTTTTACCTGTCCTAACCCAGCTCGGTTGTGCGTTTTCCCTAAGGTGCCCCGCAGGCCGCGGCTCGTAGGAAACAAACATTTTAATGGAGGCGCGACACCATCCCCGCCTTTTAATGAATGGTTTTGGGGAAGGGGGGCAATAGCACACCCAAAAAAACCAAAACCCAGAAGGGCTGCTTGGCAGGGCGAGCCCTGTGCTAACAACGCTCAGGTTCTGCATTTTCAAACCGACCGGACGGGCGTGGGAAGTGAGAGATTTTCGGGGAGAGGAGAGGCGCATGGGGTCTGCTCACTCACTTGGGTGGGTTCTACACGTCATCGCTTAATAATCTGGGACGTTGCTATCGGCCTGTCTTCGCGATCGGAGGGGGGCCTTGAGCTCACAGCTGGGAGGGGGGCTTTTTAACCCTCTCAGCTCTGGCCAAACTTCCACCTCGCAGCTGGGTTTTGCTGGGAGGTTTGGCTTTATTGCCCCCGCCTCCCCCCCCCCC